TATTGTCAGCATTGGAGATGTTCTTAATTATAGAGATATAATTGAGCTGTTACAAATTTGTGTGCAAGTAAACCTTAACATGTTTGAATTGTATTCTTCTCAGTGATTGATCTCTGTGTTGGGATGAGTTGATATTTAATAGGAATTAATAGGATAAGCAGTACAATTTTTTCCAACTCCAAATATATTTTTAAAAATCAAGACAAAACTTGGTGCTTTGTTATACTTGCTCTGACCACCTCCCCCTGTTGTAGTTTTCAGCTGCCTACAGTAGTATTTCTGCTCAAATATCCTGAAACATCAAAATTCTGAGTTTGCATTTGGTTCCAATGTTTGCGGGGGGAGCAGATGGTAAGAAACTGCTGTATTCCACAAAATACTTGAATGTTATGGTGAAACATTGAGGAATCTCTTTGCTTTTAAGTTCAGCGTGTAATCCAAGTATCACAAGAGGTGTGAGAGGGTGTTGTGTAATGGCACAAAGTTGGAATTGGAAGGAGAATTGGAAGCCCTGGGGTTTTTATTCTTGGCTCGACTATAAATCTGTTACATGACCTTGAGCAGAGCACATTAACCTTGACTTTCCAAAGCATTTGCACTCTGAACTGGAGCTGCGTGTTGGTCAATTGCAATTTCCTGTGAGGTGAGAACGGTGCCTTAATAGGGTGTAGACAGATCATTAACACAGAGTGCTGCTAAATTCTCCAATGGAAAGCATTACGGGTAGTGGGAAGTATTATTAGGAACTAATAATATTATAAATTAGTCATTATAATACAGTTAGGATTACCCTATGATGTTGTACTTACCCCAAAGAAAGATAAATCATATGCTGCTTAGAAGATTTTTTAGAGTAGAGTGGAGCATTTAAGGTCTTTAGAACATTTCTGCAATATTAAAATGATTTTTCAGCCTGTATAGTAGCTTCTTCAGTCTAGTCTAAGGTTTTTAAAAAGTAAAACAAACAGAAGCCCAAGGTATTGTTTACTTAATTAGTCCTATCTGCAGCATGAATTTATTTCTGAACTTCATTTCTGCTTATTAAGTATCATATCTGTTGATGATCCTTATGTTACTAAGCAACACCAACACCACCAAATAATAGGGAAAAAGCATGTAATAAGGCACTATAGTTCTGAACATGTGTCATGGGGTTAATTTCCTAAGAAATGTCTTCTCAGATTCAAAGAGTGTGCAATGCAGCACTGTAAAATGTATTGTTTTCATTATAAAAAGCAGTTCATATCTTCTAAAAATGTGCATTTAACTGCATAAAGGCATAAAAGCAACACAAAAATTATTCAAATAACATTACAATTATATATGATAAATCATCTTTAAAACCTTTACATTTATGTATCAATTATAGCTTAACCACAGGATCGAACATCTTAGAGCTTCATCGAAATCAATCAAATATCTTAAGCTGAAGCTGGAATGTTATTCTGTTAGAATTGCTCCCAAAGGCAATTTTTATCTGTTTAGGCACCAGTTTTAGAGCACATTCTGAATTTGATTATTTCTGGTAGTATTTCCTGGGTAAGGTTTTGTTCTACCAGTGACTCTAAGAAATTTGTAAAACAACTAATTAATTACAAACTGATTGAACTACCATAACTGTTTTTAAAAATGCTACTAATACTTTGATCCATAGAAAATGCAGAATCTCTTCTGCTACTTGCTTTCTAAGTGTGTTTTATAGAGAAATGTTGATTTCAGATGCTAAATTAAACAGACTCTCGCGCACATCAAGTGTGAACCTGATAACATTTTGGAAGACCAGTCTTTCCTCAGTAATAAGTAGGAATTTCTCACTCAACCTCTTTGAGTTTCAGTATTTACACATAATTCCCAGGTGCATGAAACCAGAAAATACTCAGTTAATTAGGGATAAAATAATACTAGTGTCTTGAGGTTTTTTAAATAAAATAAAAAAGTTAGTGTGAGCATTTTTTCATCTATCACCAGACCTAAGAAGAACATCTCTCTGTCTATACTACTGCAGAGCCCCCAGTTTCAAAGATTTCTGTTTCTTTTTTAATCTAGTTTTAGTTTATTTCAGAGAAATTCATGCTTTTTTCTCTTCCATTCTGTTTTCTTAATTTGAACTAAAATTCAATTTAAACTATTAACCTTCAGTTAATAGGTAGTCTCAAGAATACTTATTCTCAAAAACTCTAAAAATAGCTTTCTTTCCGTTTAAATAAAGTTATCTAAAATACCAAGATATATCAAGAATCAGTTCATGAAATTGTTTCAAGATAGAACAGTTCTGGAGTTTAAATCAGGTAATGAACTGTATGTCTCCACCTTGGTATTTGCAAGTCATTCCTTGCTTGGCAGACTTTCAGGCTAGCCTTGCCTTAGTTCAAAATATTCTATACAGGTGTACATGCATTTGTAATGTTTAATGTGCTGTAATAGCACAAATGAGGTAAGTTGAAAAAAATGGGAAGATGTTTACAAAAACATTTCCTCAATCTTCCTGAAATAATTTTAATTTAAAAACGACAGTGAGTGGAATGTAAATTGACACTGGGATTTCAGAACAGGTTAAAAGAAAGATTAACTGCTCCCTTGCCCCCCGCTCCAAAATCCCAGCCTAGTGGCATCACAGTTCTGGAAAGCAGCTGTGCTGCCATATGTTGCTACTTCAGAGCCCATCTTATGCGTAGCTCTACCATTACTCAGACTGAACTGTTCAGGAACCTCGTGATTCATCAAAAATTTGGCTTGGAATTAGTAAAGCAGAGTCACTTGTTTGAAGGGCGGCATTTCAGGAGTCATTCGAGGTGTGATGCCTCATATTTCATGCTGTACATTCTATGGAGCTTTTCAAAACCAACCCCAGCTCCCATTATAGCAGAACATATTTTAATTCCTCGCAGCACTAAATAGCATGTTTGCTATTTCCCAAATTTGTCATCCAAAAGAATAGTAAATACAAATGGTTTTGGTATAAACATACCTGTTCTTCCCTCCTGTAATTGCTATAGAAATATTTGTGTACTTGAGAACTTCAAGTACAACTTGCATGTGCAGTTCTTAGTAAAAAACTTGTGATCTTTAAAATGAAACTTCCATTCCACTTGGTAAAGGAGAACAGTATTTTCCGCAGCCTGCCTTTACAAAACCAATCTGTACTTGGACTTTTCCAATATTTAGTAATTGTATGTTTACACACTTTTCCTAGTTGAAACTGCGCTCGTTTTGAAGAAGCAGTTGCCCTTTAGGTCTTGCTTGGACATAACAGGGAATCCTCTCCACAGATTTCCTTACTAAAGGTCATAGTTTATTTTTTAAATGACAATTTGAGGGTTAATATTTGCTATCTATCTGTGAGTTTAGCACTCACTGAAGCTAACAAGAATCATTCCCTAGATACCCAAAAACCTGGAGTAGGTTTTAATAAGATTTAGAAAATAGATTTATTGAATCTGCTGCATTGCCTGTTATAAAAAAAATTAAAATCTTTAAGTCTGTAAAGTAAGCCTCAAAGTAAACAATTTTTAAATAGAAATATTGAATGTTTTTCAGGGCCATGACAAATGGGAATTGGCTGTGTTTTCTAAGGTTGTTTCTAAGAGACAAAGTACTGTGACCAATATATTCAGAAAAAGAAAGACTAACTGTGTGTGACACTGAAGAAGGAGCTAAAGTTGTAGCATTTCTGAGACTACTTTAAAATATGAACTATAACTCAAATAGATTCCAAAAATGGTTATTATTTTTTAAATGACTGCTGCTTCACATTATGAAAATAGCTTGTTTCCACACTCTACACTGATAAACAAAACAAGTTAAGAATGTATTCTACACTACAAGTCTTAAAATCCTGTAATTGCTCAGAAGTGGAATGAAGCCCAAGAATCCTTTCAATGAGCATTTGTGCTGTAAGACTTTCAGACATAGAAACTGGCAATCCAAGAATGGTGGTTCCAGTGCAGGTGTTGCATTGATCTGAATTTTTTATTTGTGTTGTGATGGCAGATCTGTAAGCAATCTGTTTTAAATAATATACACACAGGTTACCCAAAAGATTTCAAATGTCAGCAGAACAAGTTACAGAGGCATTTTCTTTCACTTACATTTGCATGGGCACGTACCTGCATTCCTAAAGTTTTTAGAAATTTTGAAGATATTTAACATTCACCACTTCTTAAAATGATCATATGTTACATGGATTAAGTACAAGAAGTTGGCTTAAAACAGACTTGAATCTCTGTAGATGTTTTTAAGTGCCCAGAAAGCATCCAATTGTCTCTTATATGGATGGAGTTTTGGAGTAACTGCAGAATATTACCTGATTTTTGCCAAGATTTTTCCAACACAACATGACTATGCATCACAACACTTGGATAGCTGAAAAGAATCCACTGTCTCATTTATTTTTTTCCCCTGGTTGATCCAAATCAGTCACTTTTTATTCTTGCTTTGACACACAGTTTTCTGCTCTAAAGGGCTCAGGTTTCAAAATTTTGCCTGTGTTTTGTTTGCTGTGTCTAAGTAAACAGAACTTTTTTTATATGATTCATATCTCATTAGAACCCAAATGGTTGCACAACCATCCAGGTCTGTTAGTTAGATTAGGATATACTATTCTAGCAGGCAATTTAAGGAAAGGCATTGACATTCAAGTGTACTTTGGAATTATTTTTAATATCGTACTGGGTATGGCATTTATAAAAAGAGAAGTGTGTGTATATATGGAAGATAATTAGGAAAATCAAAACAAGCGACTAATGGTCAGGAATTTAAAATCAGAGAAAATCAAAGCTGATGAATGGTTAGTATCCATCATTGGTCACCCATGGTAAGGGGAAAAAAGAACATGTGGGGTTCTTCTTGTCCTTCTGTAATAAAATCAGGGAAAGCAAATAATAACTTCACTATAAATTTTCGGTTGGGATCACAAATTAGATTCGTGGATTGAATTGTGAGTTGAATTTTCAGCTGACGATGGCTTTGAAAATACTGACTTGTCTTATTTTATTTTGTAGATGCTTCAGAAACTTGCTGTGTGCTTACCACAGGTTCTGCCAACCATCTCAAGAGGGGACTTACCTATTCTTTCATTAGTAAGCATAACATTATCTTGAAATAATTATTCCTCTCCACATGGCCTTCCTACTAGTGTCAGCTTATCTTCTGCTGACTCATGCTCGGGGTGCTCCTGTTGAGAATGGGGCACTGTTGGAAACACTGAAGTCACAAGTAGGATTATTCAGCAATAAAAGTGAACACTATTCAGCACAGGTGAGACCTCCTGGCACGAGCCGACAAATACCTCAGACAATCATCATAGGAGTTCGTAAAGGAGGGACAAGGGCTTTGCTGGAAATGTTGGATATTCATCCTAATATTGTGGTAGCAGCTACAGAAGTCCACTTCTTTGACTGGGATGAAAATTATGTGAAAGGAATAGACTGGTATAGAAATCTGATGCCATTTTCTTATGGAAATCAAATAACAATTGAGAAAACACCAGGCTATTTTACATCACCACAGGCTCCGGGAAGAATTCATGACATGAATAGCTCCATTAAACTGCTGCTCATTCTAAGAGATCCCACTGAGAGAGTTATATCTGACTATACTCAAGTATACTACAACAGAGTAGAAAGCCACAAGCCTGTTCAGCTTTTTGAAGATATTGTTATTAAGAATGGAGTGCTTAATACCAAATACAAAGCTATTCAGAGAAGTCTATATGATGTTCATATGGAAAAGTGGCTTAAGCATTTCAGTTTGGATCAGATTCATATAGTGGATGGCAATACTTTAATCAAGGACCCTCTTCCTGAATTACAAAAAGTTGAAAGATTTCTAAATCTTCCTTCCCGAATTATGTCTTCTAATTTTTATTTTAACCAAACCAAGGGATTCTACTGCATTAGAAGTGATGGGAGGGAGAGATGTTTACATGAATCCAAAGGGCGTCCCCATCCTCTCGTTAACAGCACTGTTTTAGAGCAATTGTATTCTTACTTCAGAGAGCACAATGCAAAATTTTACAGAATGGTTAATCATTCCTTTGACTGGCACTAATGCATTTGGAGTTGATATTTCTTAAAAAGGGCCTGAAGTAGACTCTTTCAAACACATCTTTATAAACTGTAAAGACATATATTATGAAAATTAACACACTGGCTATATGCTTCATTGGAATAACACATTTGTTAACTCATTGAAATGGTACTCTTTATGTTGGGAAAAATAAGTTTTATGTATTTGTATGATTACTGTGAGTCATATTCTGATCTTTCTCTCATCATGCAAATACATTAACTTAGTACAGCAAACTTAGTACAGACGTGTATCTCTACAAAATTTGTGCTGTTTTGGAAAAAATGCTTCTAACTGTAAAAAATGTAAATATTTGAAATGGTATTATTCTAACTGTTCTGTATTTTTTGTTGTTAGTATTTTTTTATATCCCACACAACAATAATGGTGTTGATTTCTAGAATTTTCATAAAATAAGCTCAAATTGTATGTTAAAACAGGGGCATGAATAGTGGCTCCAATAAATCATTCATCCTCTTTAATATGCTGAAGTACTTAATCAATAAATAATAAAAGGAATCTCCTTCACCTGTAATTTTGAATAGGTGAACTAGAAGCTACCTGTCTGTATATCATTAGTATTAAACTATTAAGCCACACTCTTACTATCCTGGGTTTGCAAAAAAATCTCCAAAATCACAAATCTCCAAAGTAAGAACATGAACTGTTTGAAGAAGATTAAAGTGAGAGTTCTGAATATAAAGAAATTAAAATATCCCAGGCAGCCTCAATTTACAGTGATACTTTATACATTAAAAAAAAAAGGCATAAAAATTATTAGTATCAGCAACTGTACAAATATTTGATTATATCAATTTCGTCACTTTGCTCTTGAATGGAAAAGTTCTTAGTTAGTACTACCATATTAATTATGTTTGCATTCTGTGAATAGTTATTCTATTGCTCTCCTGGTTTTGGTTTATATATCTTCCTTGGCACATTGATTCATGTTTAAAAAAAAAAAATTATTTGTTTGCCCCCTGAAGCATGGAGTAATTCTTATTTTGCCATTTCTAATGCAGACCATGGAACACTCTCAAAAAACATCCTGTTGAGTGATATATCTTAGACAGTGTTCAATACGCTCAGTATGACAAACTCAGATTATACATAAGAATCACATTTGTCTATAGCTCTGCATTAGGATTCTATTTTCAAATTTTTTTTTTTTTACAGTATTGTGCTGGTCTTTTCTACTTTTTCTTGTAAATATTTTATTATCGATACCAAAGAAAAAAATCGACTTGAAATGTTAAATGTTAAATTTGCTGCCAGATAGACCTACAGATGCAGATGTGCTTGTTTGCCACTGTACCTTGCAATCCAGACACCCTGGTGCACCCCCTGGTAGAAGCAGCGCTCAGCAGGTGCCTCTGAGAGCCCTGAGAGCACAGGTGAGCTGCAGTGCTGTGGGCCCACTCTGAGCATCGCAGCGTCCAACTCCACCGAGCCCTGGGGAGGGTCCTGCATCTGTGTCCTGTCTGTCCCTGCTCAGCCTGCAGGAGTGTGTATGTTCTTAGCATGGGATTCGATCTTCCACTTCACAGGCTAAAAGGTATGTATTGCAGTGGTAATTTGGGGCTTCTAATACCTTATGACCAGGCCACTTAGATATTAGGCGTGTAGGAGTATTCCACTGAAACTGCACAGAACCAGACTTGACTCGGAGTATGTGGAAACAGCCTTCATCAATATTTCCTTAATAAATGTAAAATGTTTAAAATAATATAATAAATCCTATTCTTTACCTGTTCCACTACTTGTATATGTATATATGAGAGAAAATTATTTTCGTTAGCATGTAATTAATCTCTGAAATTACCTTTCTGGACTATGATTGTTTACTACATCTTTGATTTCTACAGAAGCCCAAATTGTTTTTTACTTCTGCCACTTTTTCTGAGATTGTGGCTTCTTAATCATTAATATTGATCAGAGGGGGGCACTAAGAAGTACAATATCAATGGGACTGTCTATAAATATGAATATATTTGTTTCAAATTCAAAGAATGCATTGTTTATGCTCATCTTCTACCATCTCTACAAGATACCTCTACAATTGGATAGGTAAAATGTAATAATTACAGTTGTACAGTTTAACAACATCTTCTTTGTTATTTGTCAAGGGAAAAGTTACACCATAAAAATTCAGTACTCTGAATTAACAGTGTGATTCTATATCAGAACAACTCTTTGTATTTTGTGGGCACAGCACTTTTGCCTGATAACAGAACTCCCAAATCCAGATTTGCAGTATTTTTTAACACAGCCTGTTCTTTCTGACCAATGTAATCTCAGTGACAAACAAAACCCCTTCCAGTCCACTAATTTTAGATTTACATTATTGAAGGTAGCAACATAAGTGCAGTTTGTATCAGATACAAATATATTGCTTTATTTCTTATACATTCCAAAACTCTCTTCCTTTTCTCTCTCTCTTTTCTTCCTTTTCTCTCTCTCTCTTTTTTCTTTTTTTTCCTTGCAAGAAGTGAATTTGAAAACAATGTATGCTTTAGCAAAGGTTTCAGGTAGATGCTAGTAATTGAAGAATTCACGTCTATATGCCATATTCAATTTCATAGGCTTCCAAGAAAAAGGAAGAGAAAAAATTCTAATGTCTTCCTATATTTATGCCTGCAGGCATCAAGTCTTTCTCTTTATTCTCTGAAGTTTGCAGCTAATCTTTAAATGAGCTGAATGCAGGAACACCAGTTGGCAGGAGCTTTATGCATCTTTGAAAATGCAGGTCCCTTTCTGGAATTTACATTTAAAGGAGAGCTGAGCTGTATGGATTAGTGATGCATATATCTACTTGATTTGTTATCACTCTTCATTCCTGCTCAGCACTTCTGGGAAGGACAGAGTTGATGGAATGAATTCAATGATCATTTTAGAGTTTACTGAGTTGATGGAATGAATTCAATGATCATTTTAAGTTTGCTAATACCTTGAGAAGTATATTATGCATAGTATAATCTGGGGGAAGGGTTGGTTGTTTTGGTTTGGTTTTGCATAAATCAAGATTCTCATCATAAGTTTAGCTTTGGTAAATAGTCTACAATAACCTCTGCATAACAGAATTCAATAAATATAATAGACTGTAATTTTATATTGCAGACTGTTTCAATCAATTTCTCATTTTGTGGTCTGAGAAATATGCTCTCATGCAGTCCTGGCCTTCTCCATTCTTACTGTCTTCAAGAAAACCCTTCTTGCCTCATGCTCAGGACAGGGATCAGGTCAACTTAACAGACAATCCACTGAGCTACACTTAAATAGTACTGAAATAAAAGTACTCAGTATTTGGCACTTGGAATTCAGAACTAGTCAAATTTTGGAAAGACCTGTAGGATTACAACCAGTTTAAAGCTGTTATTAACAAGTCAGTTCTCAATTTAAGAAATTACAAATATCTCATGAACTTCCACAATTGATAGTAAACCATAAACTATTCTTCTCCACATGGGTCATCAAAGGTTTTTCATCTTATTATCTGATACTCAAGAGGTGTTTGCAAAAGTAAATTTCATGTGGACAGATCACTTAAAGAGATCACGCAGTTATTTCAAAGGTTTCTGGGAGCATCTGAAGTAGATGGCATAGTCACATGTAAGACTACTGCAGAACTTGTGATGATTTGAGCAGCTCTTTGATTTTGTTTTACATTCCACAAATACTAAGCTTTCACTTTAAATACTGTTCCTTTCCTTTTTTAGTAAAATTGCCATAGTTATAGTTTCTTTGATGTACTATCACTGAGAATTAACAGTCTCAAGCAACTGCAGCTGTAACCACATCAGTTTAGCCTTTGCCACAATAAGCAGCACACAGACTTAATATCTATGAGTCTAATATTACTATTTTTTTATATAGACTATATATATTACCAATAGTACATAAAGAAAAATTACTGTGAAACTTAAAAGCTAGGATTTTGCCCCAAAAAGCTCCTAGTATGTAACTAATAGGAAAGAAACCAAGAACTTCCTCTATTGCACTCACACCCATTATTTTAACAGGAATAGGATTGGATTTTTCCATTGTATCCTCTGTATCTAACCTGGCTTTTGATCTTTTCTTTTGTAGCTTAAGCTTGATAGTGCATTTACAATTCCTCTTAAAGAATAACTGTTAAAACAAAGACATTTTTTCAGTATTGTGGAAAACTTTATACAGGCCATGCACATCATTGCAAGCTGCTACACATCAGCTCCTTCGGTATCCACGTGATACAAAGACAATAATCCAATAAAGATTATCTATTGATGACCAATCATATTGATTACTGTCTGGAAGCACATCCAGATGAGGAGTTTTCAGTCTTCATTCACATCAAAAAGAAATTTTTAAAAAATTAGGTTGTTTCTATCAAATTTGACTGCTCATTGTCTTTGCCTTCTTATATTAGATAAAAATTTTAATATTTACATAATACCTATAATTTCTTGCTTTATCTATGTGGTCAAACACAAAAATATGACTTATCAGTTTGCTTACACAGTTTAATTGAAAAAAAAAAAAGACATATCCCCCAATACCTTGGTTCATAGCAAGAAATGCACAATAACCTTTCCTTTCAGAGAAAGGAATATTTAAATTATTAAAATAAGTATTATACAATTGTAAATTATTATTTTCTATATTTGTGGATTTGCTCCTTCATTTCCTTCAAAAGCTTGACTTTTGTCATAGAAATACACAGACACATTGGAAATAAAATCATTAATAATTTGCCTAGCACATTAATCATTACCAGCAGTTAATGAAGAATATTTAGCTACTGGCCAAATAGTTTCCACTTCAATTATTTCAAGTTTCAATGTGACACTAAATCATGTTTCTATTTTCTAAAACTAATTTAAAAGTTAAAGCTGACAGTGGCTAAAAAGACTCTGTAGTATCATTCTGTGATTACAGGGGAATTGTATTGTCTTGTCTTTAAGGTTAATTAACAGTGACATGTGCTTACTACAATTCCTGAAAACATTTTGGAAGCCAAGATTCTAACAGAAATGCAATGTATAAATCAGTCCTTGAACTGCAACTTAGAGAAAACACAACAGATGAAAACAGGCTGCTATAAATCATAGCATATAAATCATCTGTTAAAATCTATGTGATGCAAAATTTACAGCCTCGCCTGTATTAGCCCATCTAACAAGTACTATGAAGCTTATTTTCTGATGCAAAATAGCTTTACACTTTTACATTGTATGTTTTTTCGGTTCCATCACAAAAACCTCTTGATAAGTGCGTAAAGAAAAACATCTTCATGTAAACTCTTTACTGGTGATACAGTTTTTCTCTCAAAGGCCATTTCTCTAGTTTTGTATTGTTTCCTCTGAGATAAAAAGGTGGGTTGAGTCACCCGGCAATAAAAGAAGAGAGTTATCATGCCAGAACTAAGATTACTTCTGTTTATTACAGTTCTCAGTGAAAAACATTTTCATATAGGGACAGATAAAAGTTTACAATCTCTTTGTATTTTCTCTGTCTTCTTAACACAACTCTTACAATTTTTCTTATTCTGAAGAATGTTACTTGAAATACTTACATTGTCACTCTAGAGCTCTGACTCCCAGATTTAAATCAGATGGCAGTAATAAAAAGGAAGCACAGGTAATTAAGAATCCATTCTCTTTGCCTCTTGGACTGGCTAAGGTTTTCTTATTTTTAAACTCTTCCGATGTGAACATTTTGATCCATCATAAACTTTCTATGTATCAGCCAAACTTGCAATACAAAAAAAAAAAAAAAATAGGAGAAGAGAGACTAGAATGCAATAAAACCTGAGCTGAAGGCCCTCTTCTGCTGAATATTTGTTGACATAATATGGCAGAGTTACAAACAAAAATTACGACTGGCCTGGTAAGACAATGCACAGGACTAAACATGCTATTCCAGGGATTTATCTAGGTATTCCACATGCCTGACCAAATTTTATGATCATTAGGCTATTAGGGACACACACGAATATGCATTTTCAAAACAATGTATTTCACCTTATTAGAGAGTACTACAGTGCTGTAGGACAGGTTGAGTATATTAAGCCTGTCCTTGGCTGAAACTCTGCAGTGATATAAAGGCAAGTTGGATGGGAAGTAACAATTGCCCACACGGAATGTTGGGCATTTTAAAATGCCTTATGGAAAATCAGCAGCACTAGAAGCAGCAGGTTTGTTGATTTGACAGGGACTGTCAGTGTAGAAAAATGCTGTGCAGCTGTCATGAGAAGATTGAAGATACCTTTTCTATACTCTGCCACGATACAAATCTGCAACTCAAGACAAGTGACGCAGATGGAACACTGTAAACTGCAGAGGGGGGCATTGCTGCCTTAAGTGACGAAAGATTAAAGGCTCATAAACACCATATGCTATAGCTACAGACACACATATCATACACAGCTTGCAAACTACACTGAGCTTAAAACAAAACCAAGAAGAATCTGCAACTGTGCACAAAAGTGACCATGTTGAAGGCATGCTAAAACAGGGGCAACAGTTACAATATGAGCTATCTATAATTTAGTATTTGTCATATTAATAAACTGAAGTTTGTTTAGACCGTGCACTAGGTACCTTCTGTGAGCTAGCACCATATACTGCTCTTAATATTTTCACCTTACAGACAATGGGTTCAAAATAAGCGTCATTCATTATGTGTTTGCCAGACAACAGTGTTTATGCAATTGAAGTTCTTTGTCAGGTGTACATATGACAAAACTAATAAAACAGATGTACAGATTCTCTGGGAGAAATGGCTAGTGGATCATATACTTAGGGCCTGCCTATGCACAGTGAGCACACCAGAGCAGGGTTTAAGTAAACTGCCTTTCGTAATTGCAAAAAATATTTTCTCATATTTTACTTTCCTTTAATTGGAGAGTGTGTGTGTGTGTGTGTGTGTGTGTGTGTGTGTGTGTGTGTGTGTGTGTAATCCTTCTCCAAATTGTTTAATATTGAACTTAGAATTTTAAAATTCAAACTCACCTAGGAAGTTAAAAGTATTTTGGTTTCAGTGTCCTAAAAAAAAAAAAATTACCATTCAAAGGTTACTACATTTTTGCAACATTAAAATGCTGTTCACCTTCTATTTAGTTCTTTCATGCCTTACATTGCACACTCCCACCTCTCTCTTGAAAATATATTTTCATAGCAAATACCCTTTATGCCAGCTGATTTTAGCGTTATATGGATAGAGTTCACAATATTCATCACTTGCATTAAAAATACAAAGAGTAGGTATGGGCATAGCCAAGTCTTACACTTCCACATAAGTTGGAAAAATAGCATATGAAATAAAACTATGGTCACTTACCATTGGTGCCTGCTGAATCATACTGACCTGTGTGCTACAGGTTAGAGAGAGATGAGGTCTGCTTCAGCCATCCAAATGTCTTCTTGCAACATTTTTTGAGAGCTTGGAAAGAGTGATTTCCCCCTTCCATCAAACAGACATCCAGGTTTCAATCTGAGAAAAATCTTTTTTCCACTTGGTAGGATGTTTGTGTGGAAATGAGTGATTATGTGCCATTTTACCCCTCAAATCACCCACGGGACAGATTTTTGCCAATTGCAGTAAGTAATCCATTGGTAATGGCAAACTAACTTTGGAAGTCCAATTTAATTTCTTTTACTAGTTTTTGGTCCTCCCTTATTTTTGTCCAAAGCATTGTTTGTCACAGATGGTAACTATTTTAGATAAATAAACTTACTCAAATTACTAAAATCTACTAATCCAGCTTTCTTACATACTAGATACAACAAGCCAGAAAAAAAACAGGAGCTTGTTATCTATCTTGTTAGAATCCTTTGTCCATGACTCCTTTTTATCAAATAACTATTTAGTACAGTTATTATATGCTTGTTTGACTCCCTATCCTGTTCATCTATGTATTATGATCAAAGGGAACAGGATTATGTTACCTCACTTTAATGCTAAAACCCAGGATGTTTATTTCACATAAATGCAACTTTGCTGTCAGTCACCCACTATCCTTGATTTTCTCTATGAATTCTCTCTGTGTTTGTTTTTTGGATTTGGTTTATTTATTTATTTTTGACTTCTGGCTATTCTCTTTAATGGAATATAATAGTTTTGATCTTAAATTGAGCTTTCATGATCTGAGAACAGTAAAAGCGGAAACATACACTACAGCTTTCAAAATAAACATATTTTGTCTCTGTGATGTGATAGTATGTCAAGGAATCAGATTACAAATTTGCAAGCAATTAAAAAAAAAAACCTACCTAATCCTACCACAGCATGACTAAAGATATTTTGGGAGGGATACGGAAAAAAAAACCACCTTCCATTTTAAAAATAAAGTATTTATTTGGTATTTAACAGAAGTATTTGGATTCATGTGTTCCACTAATGTAAAGTGACACTGATGACAGTCCACTACAGCAACTGCAGTAAAACTACTCTAATTTGTGTTAAGCATTTAGCATGAAATTTATATACCTAGAGAATCCTACTTCAGTTTTAGGTGGTTGATAAAGCAAATTAAGTAGCTGCACTTTTGGAAACATAAATACTCTTATCTCTTAAGACACAAACTAAACATTCAATAGTAATGCTAATATGTTTCTCTCCTAATTTGATTTTTCTGCAGAAATTCTAGTCAGTGAGTTAGTCAATGACAAGCAATAAAACTGCAAGAAACGGAGGGAGGAAAATTCCTTTATTTGCATCGCTGGCCTCATTCTGTCAACACATCACCCAGATTGCTGGATACACACAGAGATGCATTCTGGCACTGCTAGGAAGGGACCTGCATTTCTTGCTGTCTATTCCAACTTATTAGTAATAGGATGATGCTTCTGGCACATCTAAAATAAATTAATATTGGATTAATTCACTTCAAAAAGGTGTCAAGAAAACACATTGCAGATTCATTCATCACAAACTTGAGACTAATATGTTTAAAAAAGGAATACCACAGTAATTATATTTACGTGTATAATTGCCTAAAGGTGAGCCAAATGACAGAATATATTCTAATACTTTCCAACATGCCCTTCAGTGCTGATTAAGCCACCAGTTCATCAAATAAATACAGTATTTTCAATGCTAACAATAACATAAAGAAATTATTTAAAACAGTTTTGTTTTACTTCAGAAGACATTTTATCTAAATGAACCAAAAGATATTTTTATTGCTCTTGATTCAAAGGTGTGTTCAGTGACTGTTTTTTGCTGTTCACTGATGATCATTGAGATATCTTTGAATATCAAGAAATGACTGGTCCAGCAGTATTTTTTAAGTGGTAATAGGCTAGGCAAGAAGAACTGCCAAACTTTATATAACTGTCATAGTGTAGTACTGGTTGAAACATTTTATAAGACTGTATCTAACCAAATCATATATAGTATAATACAATACCATAAGCAAAAACAATAGAAAAGCCTCAAGAAACATTTTAACATTTGCAATACCTTATTGATAGGAAGATGAAAATAAACAAAACAAATGGGAGCCTGATTCTGTGCCTTTGACCAGAAAAAAATTCTACCTGTTACAGACACAACACCTGAGCAGAAGTTGCAGACCTGGACTACTGATTTGAATGTGCTTGTATTCTGATATATCATTCACACTACCTGTGTCTTCAGTAGAACCTCGGGTGCAGTTTTAATCTGCCCAAGTTAAGTCAACTGGTCAGAGTTTCACTGGATGTGAGGATGTGTTGGGTGATGAATTTGGATTTACTCATCTTGTACTTGTGACAGGCAGATGAAATACAGATAAAGTAATAAAGATACCTTTAGTAAAGGAGTCTCATCATGTTTAGTAGCTTGACTTTTGTGCGTTTTACAAGTGAAGAGCTTAAAAATCTTATGCAATATGATTTAAAATAAGCAATCATAATAGCCTCTCAAAGATTATTAAAAATGCTGGGAAGTAAGTTGAAAGAGTCAAATTAATAATTTTTCATATCCGATGTCCAAGGCAAAGAGTGATGACTTAAATAAGGTCAGGATATTTCTGCAGTCTTTCTTCCTTCCTCTGCTACTTTAAATCATAACTACCAATGGGTAAATAATTACAACTAAAAGTATTGCTGTGCAAAGCTTAGGTGGAAATCATATTTTTAAATACACTAAATTTATGACACATTTGAGCTCTGGAGGGAAAAAATTCCACACACCCGGTACTCCAGAGGAAAATATACTGTATACTCTCAGCTTATTCCGTTTCAGAAAGCCCTCAGGCCTGAGATCTCCCCCTCCTAACCATCAAGATTGAAATGGAATACAGGGCATCAGAAGCTCAAAAATGCACTTGGGATGCAATTCTCTTGGGACTTTAAATATTAACGTGAAAAATCTTAAACCTTGGGTTACCAGGCAGCTGAGACAGATAGCAAAACATCACAAGGAGTCACACTCCCTTCTGCTAATCTCTCCTTGCAACAATAACACACGATTACACAGCGAACCAGCTGCAGGCAACAGATCATTTATGCAAGTTGCCCAATGTACTGCATGTATTTCATTAATCTGCCTGCCATTCCACAGAGATATGCATCATGAGTATCACCAGGGAATTTAAACAGAGCTTGATCTCATTTTCATTGCAATGAAGTTACCAGTGGCTTCAGGTCCTTGAGTTGCAGCCTCTGGTCAATAAACAGCACTTAGACTGCACAACCTGCTGGCCCTCAGGAATGGTACCTCATCAGATTTCAAAATGCCCAGGGAAATAACACTTTCTCCAGACCTTCTGCCCAAACCAATCATGATAAGTTAAATCTTCAGGGATTCTGTCTTAGCTAATCTTGCCTTTTTATCATGTACTTCAGTCGTATAAATGGAAAGCAATTGCAAGTCTTGTTTAGTTGCAACTGGATATAGGTTATGCTAATGGTAACTCAGGCCATCTTGCTCTCAAACTCTCAGTAAGGCAGACTATGCTTTCCACATAAGTACAGGTACTAGACCCTTGTGAGACACATTGCTAGATAAAAACAGGCAAGAAAATAACTGGCTTCAGAAGTATGCTAGCACCATCCCAGGCAGTTCAGAAAAATAAACCAATCCCAAAGACATGCCAAGACTGAAAGAAAAAGGTTTCTTATACTCTTTGGTTTGATATAACCCTCCATTTGTAAGCCTTCAGGGTGTCTACTGTCATATATCCATGTTTTTCTCTCTCTACAACTAGAAAACATAGGCATATTCTTTAATTTAAAAAAGAGTAAGGCAAGATTCTTACCCTAATATATTCCTAAATTTTCAATAGCTGAAACATTTGGGGAAAAAAGAGCAATTACCTTGAGACTTGAACTTCAGACATGGGAGTTGGCAAAGTTGGAGACAGATTCATCACACACTTCCTCTTTCTAGCTTATCAGCTAGAGAGCTATCCAGATCTGCAGTGTCAGAGAAGAGATGATGCAAAAAGGTGGTAAGGTAAACAGTTATAAACCGCAGGGCCAGCATCTTCTCATCAGATCCTCATTTAATTTTATGCTTATGGCATTACTCAAAGCCAAATTCCTCTGATAATTTAATCTGAATTTGGGTCATGGTAGGAATTTACAACATTTAGATCAAACTCTGCGGACACACAAATTTATTTTCTTTTTTATGTGGGGAATATATGCTTTTATTGATAATAATCAGTGATATATATTCTTTTTTTTCTTCTAATGAGACATTATTCTTTAAAAAGATTTGTACAACATGTTTTAAACAGAAACTCTACTTTTTGTATCCCTGCCCTATAGAAGTCTTGA